AAATGTTTAATATGTGGTATAAAAGTTTTTTATCAAATATAATTCCTAAAAACTTCATCCACTTCTGGAATTCTAGAACCAGATATGTAAAGTTCACGGTTATTATGTTGTTTCCGCATTCGAAAAAAATGAACACATTGAGTTTTTTACTTTTAGAATTAAAAAAACACTTTCTATTGCCCACTCTTGAATTTTATCTAAATTTTGTTGAAGTTGCCTTTTAATTATTCGAATAATTTCCGATCGATAGCAGATAAGAAAATCGTCTATATATAGAGAACAGTCTTTGCATGGTGTAAGAGCGCTAGCAATATTTTGTTTATTTTAAGGCCACAAAGTGTAACAGAAAGTATGCTTCCTTGAGAAACACCTTGTTCTTGTTGGTGGTCCTGGGAACCAAGTCTTAATTTAAAGTGCCTATCGTTTAAAAATCCAGAAATGAAAAGAGGAAGTCTGCCATTTAGTCCAGCATCCTTTAGATCTTTTAGGATACCATATTTCCAAGTAGTATCGTAAGCCTTCTGAAGATCAAAGAAAATTGATATCAGGTGTTGTTTATTTACAAAGGCTTCTCTAATAAAAGTTCCAAGTCGTACAAGATGATCGTTTGTACTTCGCTGTTTACAAAAACCTGACTTAAAATTAGTGATAATTCCATTATTTTCTAGATACCAAACTAACCGATTATTTATCATTCTCTCGAATGATCTGCAGAGGCGACTTGTTGGTGAAGTTGGACGATAATTTTTAGGATCAGTTGAAACTTTCCCAGAATAGGAATAATTAACACATTTTTCCAAGTGTTGAAAAATTCACCAGATACCCAAATTTTGTTAAAAATTTCAAGAAGCAAGTTAGGGATTGGGGTGGTAAATGTTTAAGAAACTGGTAGTAAATTTCGTCCGGGCCTGCAGCACTATCTTTTGCAGTTTTGATTGAATGAATTAAGTAATCGATAGAGAAAAGGGAATTATAGCATTCGTCGTTTGTTGAAGTAAATTTAATATGCTCTTTCTTAGCTTAACATTTAAGTTGTTGAAATTTATTTGCACTTTCCAGTACCGTCCATGAACAGGCTCAATCAAACCGAGCCTGCAACATTTTCAATTTTGCCGTGTTGGGCTTTCTTTAGGGATTCTGTATTTATCTATTTTATGATCACATCCGTGTTATTTGTGCCGTGTGGCGGCTGTAAAAAGTCTCCCCGTACATTTAATCAATGATGTTATATTTTCGATCCTTGAAGATCGTTCAGCACGACATTATTGTTGTGCTTGTGGTATTTTTATTTTCAACTTTTCGGCATTTTCTAGTTTGGTGGTTCCAATATTCCTACTTGATATAGCATTGTCATACATAGCACAGCATACCCACGATAAATTTGTGATATTTTCTGACTCGCTTTCTGTTTTAATATCCATTAAAAATAAAAAATCTGACAATATCATGGTGAAGAAACTTCTTTTACGATTTCATGATATACTAAAAACAAAATATGTTAAATTATATTGGATTCCAAGCCATGTAGGAATACGAGGAAATGAAAAAGTAGATGCTTTAGCTAAACAATCATTAAATTTTCAAAAAACTGACTTATTGTTGCCTGCTTGTGATTTTAGACCGGCTATAAATAAACTCGTATCATCTGAATGGAAAGCAAATTGGGACAATGCCGTTTTTAATAAACTTCACGATATAAACCCATCTTTTGATATGTCACCATCTCTATCTCTGTCAAACCGCCGTGATCAAAACAGTTCTTCTTCGATGCCGAATTGGACACACTAAAATTACCCACTCTTATCTCCTCACAAATGACAATGCCCCTTTCTGTGTAGGTTGTAATGAAAATTTTACTGTCAAGCATTTTCTTCTTGAATGTCATGATTTTTCACAGGCCCGTAATAGATTTTATTCTGTAAATTCACTCAAAGAACTTTTTAATACAATTCCATCAAAAAACATAATTGATTATTTAAAAGAGATAAACTTGTATTCTAAGATCTAATTGGCTCATTTCTATTGTCATTTACAATATTTTACATAATATTTTAAGCCTATTATAGCATTCGGCACGATATGGCCAGTTATGTGTTGACGTGCCGTAAAAATCCAATCAAACAAACAAACAAAATCCTACTTGAATAAGGTTGAAACACCCTTAGGATATGTTGCCTGCTTTTTAAATTTGTCTTTTGACGTCTAATCTGTGATACGCAGGCTTCATAACCTCTGATCCCCTTTTAAAATTCCATTTTATTTAGTTCCGCCCATTGTTTTCTCGTTTAGGGCACACGCTTTTTATTACTTGGGGACCATACGCCGCTTTTAATGGAATGGCACGGAAGTGTCACATTGAAGGTTCCATGATAACCGCCGTATGAACACATCTGCGGATGTTTCTAAACTCAAAATTTTAATATTTCACGTTTAAATGTTGAATTCTGCTTAAGCCGGTGCTAGGGGGCGTGGACGGTAACTTGCACTTTCCAGTACCGTCCATGAACAGGCTCAATCAAACCGAGCCTGCAACATTTTCAATTTTGCCGTGTTGGGCTTTCTTTAGGGATTCTGTATTTATCTATTTTATTGAATAATTGCTTGAAGAAGGGTTCTTTTCAAAAATTTCAGCCAAAGTTTCTCCAATATACGTTGTTTTTTTTTGTTTTTTTTGGCATATTGGCCATCACCATTTTTAAGCGAACAGTTGAACTCTTTTTATACTTACCACTTATTTTTCGTATTGCATCCGAGACTTTCCTAATAGGACTATTTGAATTAATTTTTGAAACATAAGATTGCCATGATTGGCCTTTAGATTGACGCACTGATCTTTTAGTTTTGGCTCTAAATATTCTATAATTTTCAAGGTTTTCTGTTGTAGGGCTATGTTCAAACTTTTCAAGTGAAGCTTTACGTATACGAACGGCTTTTAACATTCATCGTTTAACCACTTTTTTTTTAAATAATGGAATAACTTTGCAGGCAATCGTATGTTATGCTGAAGAGAACGTTTCAGCTATATCATCAGAGGTGAAAATAAATTCATTTTTTGTTAGATCAATAGAACAGAGTCAAGTAAATGTTTCCCAATCTGATTTCTTAAATTTAAAAATTAGACGTCCTTCATCTGGTATAGAGTCATTTGATGTTAGTAACAAAGGATAATGATCACTGTCGTACTGGTCATCTAAATCTTTCCAATCGAAGTCCAAGTATATAGCATAGTGGACAATCGAGAGGTCGATGCAAGAAAACGTACCTGTAGCTGGATGTATTATGTAGGTGACCGATTGTTTAATAAACAAAGCTGAAAGTTATATATCAATTTTTCAGTTATGTTACCCTTATTATTTGTAGATATACTGCCCCACATAGGATTGTGAGCTTTAAAATCGCCTAACAAATGGAAAGGTGATTTGTAATTGTCGAACAATACTTACAAGTTCATCACTTGTTACCGTTATATTTGGAGAAAGGTATGAAGAACAAATTGTTAGTGGTCGATAAAGGTCACCTGCACAACGATAGCTTGTAATCTTGTGATAAGTTTTCATTTCTTTTTGAGGAATTCAATTTGCGATAGCAAAGCTTGTACCACCTGATGTTCTGGCGTTACTAGTACATATATAATTATAATGTGTATAATCTTCTATAGAAATTTTATCTTAAGGAAATCACAAAGTCTCCTGAAGACATAATACATTTAGAGAGAATTTTGATAATGGTAAAAGAAGATTATTATAATTTGACTTATGACCACGGCAATTCCATTGTAGGATAGAATGACTTCTATAATCCATATTAAAATATATATATTAATAGGAAACCTTATTGGACTTATGGCATTCGGAGTTCGAGGAGGTGAGAGGTATAAATCCTCATCCTCCATCAATTCGGAGTCGTGAAGTAGGTCGAACCGATTTCCTGTGTTGATCCAGTTCCGTATTGCTTTTTTTACCCGATCTGTTGTGACAATTCGCTCTTGAGGCGATTGTTTTTGATAAACTTTCTCAGCCGATGCTATATGATTGTTTGCAGCTTGCTTCTTTGGAGAAGACTTTGATGGTGACTGAGTTTCCACAGAGGTAGACTGTTTACTTTGTGAAGCTGTTTGCTTTTTTTGGTAAGGTAACTTAATTGGTGGGCATTGACATTAGTTGACTTGTACTGCAGAGTCAACCATCTTTTCAAACTTTGTAACTGCATCTGAATACGACAGTTGTTTTGGTCCTTGTGATTCAACAAGCTTTCGTGTATCTTGAAAGGAAATATTTTGCGTATACTTCTGACGAAGAATTTCTTTTCCCTAGGAAAATGGAAAACATGGAATTTTTGACAGGCTGCCTTACGATCGCTGGGTTGTTTACTTATTTTTTGGACTGATAGCTGTCGTTGCTTTTCAATCTATTAGGCAGTTATTGCTCGTATGATATCTAGATATGCCCAATTGTCATCAAAAGCAATTTTGCATGTGGAAGGAATTGTATTTATCAGACAGTAAAAAATGAAATAAACATTTAGAAACGATAATTGGTGATAAGTAATTTGATTGAATTGAAGTGTGTTTTCCTCCTTTTTATTACTTATGAATTCAAGTAATTTATCATTTTTGGCTTTGCTTTTCTCTAAATAGCCCTGACAATGTCAGAATTGTCAACAATAATGAAATTGAGTTACCACATAGGAAAAAGCTTGTTTCAAATTAAACTTGTTTTGAAATGTGTTTTCCTGGAATATTTGTCAGATAAGCATTCAGGTCAACAGCATCCAGTTGATACCTCTTCATTCTCCATAGTTGATGTACTGATCAGAAGAAGTTATCAATTTTATCAGTTTACAATAGTTATAGTTGCAGCAGTCTGACACAAAACGATTCGGAAATACAAAATGTTGGCATCAGAATTCATCAGAAGATTGTCGCAAGCAATATAAACACATAATGTATATATATTTAGTTACAACGTCCATGTCCTTTAAATAAATAACATTTTTGAACATAATTATTATAGGGCTTTATTAACTTGGAGATGCAACCATGTCAAAATTCATAGTTTATAGAAAATAGTATATACAGGACATTTCAATCTATTCATCTTATAACCATTTTGCAAGAAAGAAGCTATTTGTTGCGAATTACACCTCGAGGAAATAACTTATTTTGTTGATTTCCTGGCAGTGAGTGTTAAAATCGCACCACCCAGTTTAATAAAATCATCCATAGTATTGTAAACATTGGCAGATAACCTTATCATCAATTTGCCATCAACGATTGTTATAGCAGTAAGAACATCAAACCGATCTAAGATTAGCTTCTTCAGCTCAAAGTTCTTTCCTTCAAACACATTTAGCGCCCCGGTAACCTTTTGATATTCGAGATGAAATAAAAGAAATAGAAACACAAAATTAATGTCGATCACTTAAAAGCAATTACAATTCAAATAAGTTGATATGCTTTTATATGAAAATATTATTTATTTAAGATATTAATGACATACGATTATGAATCTGAAAAACGGATCAAATATGAAACATATCAATATACATGTATTTGTTTTGTTAAATTTTCGTTTGAAAAACGGGTCCAATATACAATTTAATAATCATATATTTGTTTTGTTGAACAACGGATTCAATGTTAAACTTGTGCTGACATTTATTTTGATAGGTATTGTTTCTTAACATTTACGCACAAAATATATGCTTTGAACATTTCTACGGTACTGTTGTAATTATTTTTCTATTTATCTCCAAGGGCTTCATTTATACTTATTTCTAATACATGTATACTATTTTTTTGAGATTACATTGACAAACAGTATTAAAACATAGTTTAACTTATATAAACAATATGACCAACAAATGTATGTTACCAACCAAGTTGTCAGAAAATCCTGGTATGAACGGTAAATGTAACAAGCGCATACACGGCGCCTCCATTGATTTCGGTATTGCCAATGTTTCTGTTCCCCATAACTTTACTAAATATGATGTCCCCTTTGAAAGCAGTGTAGAGTTGTAGCTGACAATTTTATCCTGGAAAATAAACATGCAGTGACAAAATATAATCACAACTAAATTCTTAATAATTTGTAAATTCGCTCTTCAGTTAGAAGGATTTCTCTACAAAGATAAGCATATATTAAAATTTAGTTATACAATAACTTATAATTTGTTTCAAAAAACAAAGCATCAGACACAATTGAACAGTCTGTTTACATCAAATCTAGTGTGTATAACGCTAGGTCAGAAAATAATGATACGAGTAAATCTGAAAATATTTTACTTACAATTCCACCAATACGATTATAAAAATCGACCCCGTCAGTCGCACATATAAATGGAGTGTCATCTCTTGTTCCTTGAAAGTAACAGGCATTTACATTTTTTTTTATTTTATGTCAATTAAATAAAGGAGTCATTGCAATATCAATTATGTACATTCACACCAAACTGGTCACTATATACTGCTGATACATAGGCTAGGCCCTAAATGTGATATGACTGCATCTTAACGAAGAGGAAGCTTTTATTAAACAAACCTCTGTTACGTTGAATGTAAGGAGATAAGTCAATGAAAGTAAATATATAGAATGATTATAGGCGCTACTTTAAAAGCGTCTCGCCGCGAGTGCTTATATAAATGATAATTTTATGTAAATATCTTAACAGTTTCAATTTGTTTGAATTTATTTATCTTCAAAATTCATGAACATTGCTATCGAATGACCTTTAATGATCGAATGATCATTTATGCTGCTAATACATGACAACTACTCGCGAATACCCCAACCACGGATTTTATAGCGTATTCATAACATTCGCAATGGCAGGGTCAGAAATTCAAATTCGCGATTTTTTCAATTTTATTTCCTCAATATAACAGGGTAAGTTGAACTTCATTCCTATAATATGTCGCTCTTATTCAAGGTAAATATTAATGGTGTTAATAAGAGACGGTTTTTGTTTATTTATTTTAAATACAAAATGTACCTACATACATGTAATTGACTTATTTTGAAAGGTTTTTATAAATTTTTTGTTTGCAAATAACGTGTTTGATAAAACGTTAAATGTTTGTAAGAAGTTGTTATAGACTTGGCAATGATACTTTATCTACCATATGAAAATTGTCCGTTGATCATTGTTTAACCGTTCATCTATTGTCATCTAAACAATATGTGTTCACATTTGTCTGTACAGTGCAAAATTTGTGGACATTGTCTCTCCTTGTGTTTTACATGCATGCATTCGTGAGGAAAAGGAATTGAAAAAAATCTTTAACTTTAATATATTTATTATGATGTATAAAATACATTGCACATATTAATTATTTGCATTCAGTTATTGTGTTAATTATAAAACTTAATCACAATTCGAAAAAAATTGTCATCAAATTTATAATTATGTATGTTATATTATAAAATTTACGCGGCATCATAAATTTTCGACGCGGCCGATTCGCGAATAATAGCGAAAATTAAAACATCGCAAAAAATAACGGATTTATAGTACATAACTTGTGACTTGATCATTTCTTTTTACTTTTGGATGTTTGATTACGTGATAGCACGAGAGGATAAACGGCCTTTTAAGTGTCCGATATGCATCTTTATATCTTATATATTATTACATAAACTGTTACACATTTAAGATAAATCTTCAGAAAATGAGATGTGCTCATTGCAAGCATAAAACTCGATTATGTTTTCTATAGGTACCAGAATTTAAATATGAAAGTAAAAAACAAATTTAATTTTATGATTCGATTGTGACGTTCTGTAGATTTAACATAGAGCTCCTACTTTTCAGACAACAATTCGTATCTATCCTTAAAGGAGAGAATTGATATGAGTATACTCTATCAAACATGTCAAAGCCTATACGTGTTACAAGATTATTTTCATCTTTTTAAATGTACTATCTAAAAGAGTATATTTATGGTTTAATAATTCCGAAATTTTAAATTTCCTTAAGGATGATTAAGATTGTGTTATTACTAAACGGAAATTTGAGCACACTTTATTCAAATCGAAAATTGAACAAAAAGTTAATAATTCTATAATTCATCAGATATGACTTTTAATTAGATTATAGATACATATAGAAAATTAAATGATATTAAATGAATCGATCAGAGCAAGTACCATGTCTTTGTTCGATTTACCTTCATGTGCAAAAGCCTCGTGTAATGTGTTTTTGTCAAACATTGATGTGACAAGTGGTTTGAACCATGTGTGATGCCGCTTTGGATTTGTCCATATGAACGCACATCCTCGAGGGCAGTACAGCCATTTATGTAAAGTACCTGTATGCAAAAATACGAAGTAGAACGGTACGGTTGATTCTCTATCTTGTCTGCAGGATTTATATTTTGCCGGAAAAGTAAGACAGATGCAATGATTTATTTCTTAGATATTGAAAAACGTTACACACAGAACATTAAAATATTTACATGCTATACATATTATAATTATAGGATTGTACGAAAGTTCCTTTCAATATTGTATTTATCATAAAAGGTAAATTAAATATACAGTAAAGGTAATCTCAAACATTAACCAGTATAGAAATCAGCATCAATATCCTGTATATCTACTTTAAGCTGTCCGGGAACATGTGCACCATCTATGACAACAGCAACACCATATCGATGACAAACTTCCGTTATATGTTTGACTGGCAGAACAACAGATGTTGGACTGGTTATATGATCTTAAATTATATAACATTTTTCAGGTATTATGGTTTGCAAATGATAGCTGTGCATTTTCCTCCAGAACAGATGAAGACTGGATGGGGTAATTTCTTTCAGATGAGAACAAGTAATGAAAATATTTTAGGTGCCTTTATAGAACTTCTTAAATACTATTATATTATATATTCATGAACCTTTTGTTAACATGTCCAAAAAGTTGATTAAATGATATAAAATCACACAACATTGTTAATTGACTTAACAAAAAATTGGTGAACAAAATTTCTGTATACAAACCAACGACAGCCAGTTTAACATCTGGATGGGCGAGCAGAAAATCTTCATACTTTTGAATGATAGAGATGTCACTATATATAGGAAAGCTTATATCTATTTCGTACGTTTTTGCACCTAAAAATATGACATTTTTATTATTTGAGAACAATGCATGTTACGCTTATATCATTACTGATATTTTACTTCTACAAAATGAACTTATACATGATATTCTCGAGTTATTAAAGTCTGCAATTATGTTACCTCATATAACACATCTAGGACGCCTATTCAGATGACAAACAAATAAACCTCAAATTAAAATCAAAACTGATTTAAATTGATTTAAACAATATATATATTGTACATTATCTAAATTCGAAATCTAATTGTTTTATTAATTCTCACCGTCCAAGCGTGCAACTGTTGCATATGACGTCAGTTTTACACCATAATAAGATAATGACGTCAGTAAAATTGCATTGGATTTGCACAGGGGAAATGACTTCAAAACTGTATTTATTGCTAAATAAAGAACATGAAATAGAGCATTTAATAGACCATTGCAAGGTTTAGTTACAGTTCACAGTTTATATTAATTCTTTAATGTTTTACAATGCTATATCTGTATTTGGTGTTTTACTTTTCAATATTTGAAGTAAATGTTATATTTATGCGCTAACCTTAGGAGAATATGTACAAAATAATTTTGGCTGCTTATTATCTTGAATATGTTGTTTTGTTAATAAAATGATTATATGGTATCCATAGTAATCGTTTGCAAATTCTGTTTTTAAAACACAGAAAAAATACAGCATTACTCATTTAGAATGTCATTTATGCGAATATCATTCACGTTAACTTACCTTTAGTAACATTGGTGAGTAAATATATGTCATCTGTATTTATACCCATGAAACCTGCAACCTTGTTTCTAGCGAGTTGAATGTACTTTTTTACTTTATAGCGAAACCAAATATCTGGATGTGTTTCAATTTCTGCCAAATAGCTGAAAACATCTATTCTATGTTGCAATTAATATTCAATATTAGTAACGCTGAATTTGAAATTATGCTTTTTATGTGTAAGTTATTCCGTTTAATTGTAAGAAATCAAAATCTATTGAATTACTATACGAAACAAAAGCTGTACCTGACCAGTTCTAAGTTAATTATGACAAATCATGTCGCAGTTAAGTTTTATAATTAGGTGAAAACTGGAGAGACAGAAGGGTACATATTAATAGAAAGGTATAAGGTTTGATGTATGCATCTCGGAAATTTTATGTTTTGATTTTACGAGTTTCAGAGAAACCATTATATACTTAAACAAGAAACACCGCCTGACGGGGGCAACGCTCGACTTTTTAATTTTTCTTAAAGCAAACAAAGAAAGATTTGAACAAATCTTAACATTTTCTTTTTATAAATCGGTCTGTCTTGTCACATTAGTTTCGATTATCTATTTGTATATACAAATTTTTATGTATTCAACATATTACATGTATGTAGTTTATCTCTGACGAGTTGGTATTTCCAATATTATCATTGTTCTATTTTTAAAACATAAAGTTACCTTTTGGTCATCATGTTACATGTTGCAAAAGCCATACAATTTATTTTATTTACATTTCATGCATAGTTTCCTCTCATGGGCGTAACTCATATCCTTGTATGTTTTATCCCCCGCCGAAAAGGCGGCGGGGGATATAGTTATAGTCTCCGTCCTGTCCTTCCGTCCGACATTTTTGTCCGGAGCATATCTCAAAAAGTATTTGAGGTATCAACTTGAAACTTCATAGGTGGATAGACCTCATTGAGGACGAGTACATTGCACAAGAATGATAACTTTAGTCTGCAAAATTTTTGTTTTGTGTTATTGCCTTTTGTTATTTTTCAAAATTAATTTTTGTCCAGAGCATAACTCAGAAAGCCTTTGAGATACCAACATGAAACTTCATAGGTGCACAGATTTCACTCAGGAGGTGTGGAATGCACAAGACTGATAACTCTATCGTTCGTATTTTTTAGTTATTGCCCTTTGTTATGTTTTATACTTAATTTTTCACTTGAGTGGAGCATAACTCAAAAGTGTTTGAGATGTCAACATGAAATGTCATAGGTGAATAGATCTAATTGAGGAGGAATGCTGTGCGCAAGAATGATAACTCTTCCCTATATATTTTTTTAGTTATTGCCCTTTGTTATTTTTCATACTATTCTGTCGGGAGCTTATCTCATAACGTATTTTAGGTATCAACTTGAAACTTCATAGGTGGATAGATTTTACTGAGGAGGGGTGCAGCACACAAGAATGATAACTTACCCTGCATTATTATATTATGATAACTCTTCCCTATATATTTTTTTAGTTATTGCCCTTTGTTATTTTTCATACTATTCTGTCGGGAGCTTATCTCATAACGTATTTTAGGTATCAACTTGAAACTTCATAGGTGGATAGATTTTACTGAGGAGGGGTGCAGCACACAAGAATGATAACTTACCCTGCATTATTTTTCAGTCATTGCCCTTTGTTATTTTCAGCCATCAGTATTCACATAAGTTTCAAATCTGTAATCACTTCAGCCATCAGTTTTCATTGTCAAAAGACCTTGTAAAATTTAATTATTCTGCTCTACATATACATTCTTCCAATGTGCAAACACATTCGCTTGGGGATGGCCATGTTGAGATGGCACTTGTTTTAATTTGCATTTTTTTGTAAAAGGCAACAATGAAATACTATGAATAAAATGTAAAACCTATATAAAAAAAAACCCATTAAGGGCCTCCATATGCGGGCCTGCGTAGAACACATTATTCCCCCGCATGACCAGGCCAAAAAGTAACTTGTAATCAAAAGAGCATGTTAGTAAATACAGAATTGCATCATTTTTTTTTACCTAAGATTGTTTTTTGTTGTTTTTTTTTTTTGTTTTTGTTATTTACTTTGAATTAGAATGTGTGTGTACCATTCAGACTGTATGATTTTTTAATTGAATCAAAACATAAAGCACTATTCGGCAGAAACTGGTAAACTGATTTTCAGGTAAATGTAAAGGTTCCCAGTATAAATGAGAAAGTTCGATGTTCTGAATTTCGACTCTTCAGTTTACAACCATTTTGAGAAATTCCTCTCAACATTAGTTCGTTATCAGATTTCCACTGTCCGTGTCAGAGAAAACTGCAAAACTCTAATAGCAAGAACAAGCAAAATTTGGATTTTTAACTTTGAGGGTCATGTCATTTATGGATAAAGGTCAAGTTTAGTGTGGTCTACTGAAAGGTCTTGTCCCAAGGGTTGTTGTGGCCAAAAGTTTAGATCCAGGTACAAGTTTGCGGACGTGAACGGCAACGGCAACGCCGCCGCGACTATAGCAATACCTCTACTTTTTTCTTAAAAAAAAGTCCAGCTAAAAGACAGAAATTGATACTAATTGGATCTAATGTACAACTTCGAGGATATAAGATTATGTTTTGTTTGTTTGTTTGTTTGTTTCATTTTACGCCTTTTCCCAACAGTATTTCAGTCGTAAAGGTGAGTAGTTTCCTAACCATCGTTCATGGAGAGTTACACCAGTTAGCTCCAATTAGTATTATTTCCGTTGTTGTTAGAATATATTAGTTTCTGTTAAAAAACATTAACATCAAAAACCACTGGTGACAGAGATTTTAGCAATTGTGATTTTTACGTCAGTATGTTCGTTTTATAAAGCAACATAGTCATACTGCGAGCAATGCCAAGAAAAACTGCGTGTTATGCTTAAAAAATAAATGCTAGCACGGCTGTCAAAAGCTGTTGTTCAATATAGGAACAGAGAGCAACATAGAAAGGCGGTATTCAAAGAACGCAAATTTGGCCTCGTTATATAACTTATATCCCTTTGAACAGATAAACCTTAGAAAAGTAACTTGCACCGACTGCCTGTAAAGACGGGAATAGTTAGCTCGAGGGTAACTGTTTACGAGGTATCGTATTTACGTGGTCTCTAACACCAGCCGGGGTTTTTATTAAGTTTCTTGCATATTACATATTAATAATATTTCGAAAAGAAATTATGAAAAATCAGTACTTTTCTTTAGCACGTTTTTCATATAGAAGCGTGTGCTTTTACAAGAAATAAAGATTTTGTATGTGTCAGACAATTTTTTCTTCTTTAATTCTTTTAAATTTTATTCAGTTGTAAATAATATCTGAGAATTAGAGTCAATTATGAGACATTTATGGATATGTGAATCGAAAAATAATTATTGGACACTGCGACAATTTAAGTTCTACCGAACCAAATGCCGCAGCAATAGGCATGAAGTGGTACATGTTTACGTAATACAATCTTATTTAATATTATAAATAAGCATGGGCGGTCTACTGCTTTTCACACGAACAGTTGGTATCTATGGAGGATATTCGTTGACAAAAAATCAGCCTTTGAAACTTGGCAATGCATTCTTCGGTTCTACTAAACATATTAGTAAAAATCTTATTGTCGATCCAGGAGTTACACACTGCACTGGTATTAAGGTAGTTCACCCCTAATGCACTATCTCCACTTTGAAGAGTATTCAAATAGGCTAGAATCACTGTCAAGTCACTCAAGTGTATTGAAACTGAGGGGCGTGGGTTCAATCCCCAGAAGGGGCAACTTTTTTTTTTTTTTTTTTTTTTTTTCTTTCTTTTTTTTTTTTTTTCTTTTTCACATTTTTTATTAATTTCTCAGATCCCTAATGGAAGAAAAAAATGTTTCATTTTAATTATATAATTATTGTAGGTATTTATTTACTAAATAATGCCAAATTTAATAGCAAATATGATACCAGATATTTTCAAAGTTAAATAAAATAAAAACTACACGGTAAAAGTATTTTATGTTTTGCAAGACAAACCAATATACATTTAAGAAAATTTAGGCAAACTTTGAAAACAGCCCTTCATTGTGGAAAATTTGAGGGATATTTTAATTAAGGCTTTTTACATAGAGAAATGGTAAAATAAGTGCTAAAAGTGGGTGGGGTAAGTTAACATTTTTATAAATATCAAAAACATTTCGTTTAAAAACAATCATTTTACTTGTTTAATTTGTTACCTAGATGTCATTATTTGTTTTTTTTAACAATGAGCAATAGAAAAACATTTTTATAATGATGATATTATAGATTATTTAGAGTTTCCTCATTTCTGAAAAATGTCCATAACTTATAAACCACACGGTAAATTTTGTTTAAATTTTGCATACAGGTGACATTTAAGGAATAATACTGTCCTATGTTGTCAATTTTACAGTTTCTTATAGTGCACATTAGGGGTGTTCTACCTTAAGCGTTTTGATAACATCGATTTGATAAAATGGAAGCTGTAAACATGCAACTTAGATAAATTGCAAACTGCATTTAGAAATGTTTAACTTCAAATTTACGACACGTAGAAATATAAACGATAGAATGTACACAACACGTTTAAAATGATATGCATCATGACGTTGAGAGTGTTACTGCATCAATTAACATTCTCAGGTTGACAACAACACACTTTCCTTTTACATGCTAACGCGATTAACATTTGTTAACGAATTTGCAACTCACTTATATGGCATTATCACGGAAATAGACGCACATTAATTGGCGGAGTCAATTTTCACGAGAGCAGAATATAAAGAAAGGCAACACTTTTTGTACAGTAATAATGAGTATAGTCTGATTTTATTGACCTGTCAATTATGAATACATTATAGGACTCATTTAAATATTCGATCCCACTTCGGTTTGGTCCGTGTAGTTTACGATAATTAATGTGGAGTATATTAGTCATGGATTGAAAGTCACGCCAGCTTAATGTGAAGGTTTTCGTTAGTCCACAATCAATGGTAGGATACTACGTCATCGCGCACCTGCTAAATGCTCCCACTTGGACCATTTTTTCGTCGACTCGAAGGTAAAATACAATTTCATTATAAGAAAACGTAAGAGTATTAAAAAATCATGTAGCGCACCAAAGAATGGCTATAGTACT